ACTCTGTAAATGGCTTTCCTTTTTATGTTTTGTTTATTTTTTATTTTTCTCAAAGATTTGATATCTTGATATTTGGTTTAATTTTGATTTTTGTAAAAGTAGTTTATATTTCAGTCGCACCTTTACCTGTTCTTCTTTTTTTATATATATATTAATTTAGAGTATTTGTAGCTTGGAAACTTGAAGGACTTGTAAAGATGTACACCTTATTGTATACAATAATTTGAATTATTTTTTTTTGTTCTTTTCCTTGTACTTGTTAAGTGTGGTGATATGTTTTGCTTTTGAGTTAACCAAACATCATGAAGTACTTGTCCGGACATGTGTATTTGAAATCATACAATTCATTGTTTTTATTAGGCATTTGTTTTAGGTTTACTTTTGAAATAAGCAAATTGTTTTATTTTTTATTATGATTAATCTACTTATCTACAAGATTAATCTTTGAACTAATAGTGATGATAGTTTTTAGGTTTACTCTATCTTGAAGTTTTAAGAGTAAAGATACAACAAGAAAGAGCTCTATTTTTATTTACTTTTTTAAGAAATCAGATGTCAATCTTTTGGATAACAATGTATTTATTGTAGCTACTACTTCAAACATGACAACTCCTTCTCGAAATCTTAACGAAATAACTCATAAATTTAAGGAACTAAAGGAATGTCCATTTAAAAGCCGAAAAATTTAGCTTGGAGAAATGAATATTACTTCTTTGGAATGTAATCTGATTGTGTCAATGATATGGGATATTCATGTCGACCAAAGAAATAGAAATCTATTATGCTTATCTCAAAGTCAGTCCATTTCAACCTATGTATTCAAAGTATTCTTTTTCAAAAGATGAGAATCACCATTGTTGATTTCAATCTTCTTGGTTTGAAGCATTTTTGAGTTAATTAGAGTACTCAAATATAGTGAAAGTTATATTTAATCTACCTTATTGCTTTTTTGGTGAGATAACAATTAGGTCGAGATCAGATGCTTTTGTATCCAAAGTCTTTGTTAATTAGAAGAAGGTAAATGATGGGAATTATTACCCTGTATTAAGTCATGTTAGGAAGGAGAACTCACAACATAGAATTATAATAAACTATTGTGAAGATTTAATGGGTCAATCATAAGATATTTACAACTTGGTAGATAAAGGAGTATCCGAAGAAGTTAAGAATAATTGTTCATGCCTTAGAGCTACAATTGATATCTTTTAAAGGATAACTTTTCAAGTATATGCCTTTAGAGGCCACAATGAAATACATGGTTTAAAAAAATCAAGGTAATTTTATTGAACTCCTGAAGCTCATAGGAAATGGGGTTGTTCTAAAAAATAATCCTTGTCAAAATGCTAAATATACTTTTAATGGAATTCAAAAGGATATTTTGAGTATCTTTGCTAGCAATGTATGAATGGTTATTCATGATAAGATTGAAGATTCAAAGTTTGTATCATTATTGATGAAACTAGAGATGAAGCAAAAATAGAACAAATAGCAATTATCTTGTGATTTGTTGACAAAAATGGTTTCATTCGAAAAGATTTTTTCTATGTTATGCATGTGAAAGACACTATGACATTGACTCTAAAACAAAAGGTATGCAATGTTATATCCCATTATGATCTTCCTGTAATTTATTCAAGTTTAAAAATATAATGGTGTAAGCAATATGTGAGGTAAGTGGAATAGACTTCAAGTTTTGTTTCTTAAAAATTGTCCTTTTACGTATTATGTATATTGCCTAGCTTAAAAGTTACAATTAGCTCATGTTATTGCCTCTAGAGAAGTAAAACTTGTCCATGAATTTTTCTTTCAAGTTTGACTTTTATTATTAATATTGTTGTAAGTTCATATAAAATAAATGATGAGTTAAAAATTTCTCAAGCAATAAAATTACTAAAGATGAAATAAAAACATGAAAATGAGTCCAAGCTGGCACCTTACAACAACTTGGCGATGCACTATTGAGTTCTTATTTTCAATTAATTTGTAGCAAATTATAAAGTAAATTATTCTTGACAAGGTGATATGGAAGGAGTTTATTTGGCATTAACACCTTTTGAATGTTTTTTAATATTGCATTTGATGAAACAAATTAATGGAATTACTAATGTTTTATATCGAGTTTTGCGGCAACAAGATCAAGACATTGTTAATGCCATAAGTTTAATTTCATCTACAAAGTCATTGATTCAAAAATTACACCATGATGGATGATAACATTTACTTTAAAGTGTTAAAGAGTTTTGTGCACAAAATAATATTAATATTCTTGATTTGAAAGCACAATATACAAGATTGTATGGCAAGTATTGTAATTAAAGTGAAGTTCTCATAACTTTTGAACATCATTTCAAAGTTGATATATTTATATCTATAATTAACTTTTAATTACAACAATTAAATGGTAGATTTTATGATCAAACAATTGAGCTTTTTATTTTAAGTTAAGCATTATGTCCTCATAGTTCTTATAACTCATTCAATATTAATAATATATACAATTAGACTAAAAACTTTTAAGCCAAAAATTTATTGAATAAGAGAAACTTCATTTAAGATTTTTATTGCAACAACATGTTTATGTTGTACCAAAATATCTAAAGTTTTAAAAATTAACCTACCTTTTCTAAATTATGTATAGCAATGACAACTTCTAAAAGATTAAAAGTATAGAATGAGCTTTTTCTACAATAAAGTTGGTGAAAATAAGGTTATACAACAACATCAACATTAATGATGATTTTTTCTTACCAACAATTTAATTATCTATATAGAAAAGGAGATCATTATAAACTTCACAATATATATAAATATATATAATTATTGATGAGTTTTCCTCAATAAAAGATTATCAATCATAACTTAATTTAGAATTTTTTTACCTATTTTTTTAACTTTTTATATTTATTGGAATATGATAAAATAGAACATTTTCATTTTCATTTCATTATAATTATTGATCTTATTATGCGCTTACCACGATTTTAGAAAAATTTTAATATGAGCCTACCACGTCTTTATGTTAGCACAAAACATCTCAGTTTTAGAAAATCTTAATATGAGCCCGCCACGTGTTTATGTTCTCCATCCTTATGCGTGTTAAGATTTTAAAGCAAATCCATAACCATCGTTGTCGTCATCCACAAAAATTTCTTTCATTCTCAAACTTCCTCTAAACTGCAAATAAATCCATTCATGCAGATATTTAAAATAAAAATGCCACAACATATTTGCCAAAACAAAACTAAAAAGTTAAATTAAACACAAGAATAGAAACTTTAAATGTCATGGAGTTGAACTTATCAGGATGCAGCCTCCAACGTACGCCTGCTCACACATATAATTCCATTTCTACTGCCCCTAGCTTTCTCTTTTAATTTTCACGTAACATAAATTAAAAAAAAAAAAAGCTTGACCGACTCAAGGCCTAGAATGATCTGGGTTAAAAAAATAGAAATAAAAAGGGAAGACAATGAAGGAATTGACAATCATGCACAGGAATAAAATGCAGTCAAACCAGCAAAAATCTACATATAAAATGTGAAATAAAAATCTACATATAAGATGTGAAATCATAGAGGTCCTGGTCCTATGTGTATATGTTTAGCTTCTGAAATAAGAAATGGAGGTAGAGAAATGTAGATAATTGCCAATACCCTCACTGTATTTACGTTTGATGAACGACATTGCACTTAAATTTTTTTTTTTATTTATGTAGATGTCTGGGTTAATTTATGCATACTAGAACTAATCTCATGATCCACTAAATAGTCTATAAGCCCAATAAATATGTAAGGTACTACAAAGTAATAGCATGCATATTACCTTTAAACTTTGTTTGGTCCGTGATCATTTGTATATATTCAGGATAAATGGACCACTTAGCTCAATATACATAAGAAAAATTTAGTGGAATAACATTATAATTAAAAACATGTTATTTATTAAATATTTCATGTTTAAAAATAATAATATTTAATAATAATGATGTTTTTAAAGAATTAAATATTATGCTTTTAAAAAATAATAAAATGGTATTTCACTAAAAAAAAA